AAAAATAGACATAATTAACCCATTAAAGGCGATATCGGATCCCTTATGAACATTTGTAACTGTCATACATATTGATCGGTCACAATTGAGTTCTTGTATGTACTTTTTCGATTTTCGATTTCCGAATTTTGTATTATTTTGAAAACTCCGCTTATTTAGCTGTAAAATTTGACATGTCGGAATAAAAATCACAACACACTTTCAGAAACATATTTACGGTCTTGCTCTTGACTGCACATACATACATACATGATCAAATAGYACCAACACAGAAGTAAAATAATACCACACACAAAATAGCTTTGTTAAAAAATTTAATATTTTGTCCTGAAATCTTGATTCTTTCATACCCTCAGCGCATTGTATTATTTGCATATTCTCATCTACTATTGCACAAAAGCTGAAATGACAGTAAAGATTGTTACTTACCATACTTTGTCCCATTCAATAGTAAAAACGTTAATTAACCGCAAAAGTCTGTGCGAGTAATGAAAATTAATCCATCCTTTGAAAAATGGGCGCACCGGACGCACATATTTGTACACACTCGTAGTATTTATATGCGTATAAGCGTATATATACATACATATGTATGCATGTACTATTTACCGAAAGTTAAAGGAGAGTTGAACTGAAAATTTGTAATAAACGGCAGCAGCGAGAAAACGCTCTCAATGGTGAAGCTGAGAAGTGAATTTTTTGCTGTATGCCACATAACTATATGCAAATACATACATATGTATATGTACGTACATATTTACATGTATGTACACGCAAATGTATAATTAAACTTTTTAAGATTATGTTGAACGTTTAAGTTAAAACACTGTATATAATGGCATAAATATTTTAAGAACATTTAGTATTTCTAAGCAAAAACACAAATACATATGGATAAAAATTATATATACATATTTTATATATTTTTCAGTAAGAAAATGAATCCGGATTTAAAAAATTATAAAAGTTTTTTTAAAATATTTTTATCTGTTATATACATATAATAAATAGTTCTTTGTAAAAGTTCATTTATTAAAAACTAAAAAATTAAATTTCGAAAAAATTAAATGTGATACGCTAACAGATAAAACTCCTGTCTTTGCTTTTAAATTTCTACTAAACATTTCTTTAAAAAATTTAGTTTATCGGATATTATTTTGAAAACTGAAAACACTCAACTACTATCTCTAACACTCTAAGCATTTATTCTTAATTTTAACTGCACCTTTTTTTATCCATAGATATCCTTACTTTGTTGAATTAAATAAATTTATTATTTTTATTAATATAACCTAAACTAGCATAGAAATGCCAAATTAATGAAAAATATCATTCAATCAATTACACTGTACAACAAAATCCACTCTTCAAAAAGTTAGTTTTTAAAATACAAAATTTTTGGTCTTTCAATGATCGTAATTCGAGCACTTATAGCGTCAGCCGTATAAGCCTGAGCGAAGAATGATATACACAGTTGAAAGAAGAAAAAAACGTGGATGATAGCCACATTTTTACTTTATTTAGTATCCGAAACGACGGAAAGTAATAAAATTATGAATAAAATCGCTGATTTTCAACTAGCACCCAATATATGTTCATACATAGTATCATAGTCGAAAAAAGTTATGAAAACCATTATTCAAGATAATTTGTATTTTGTTAATTTTTTTTGTTCAGTATTTGCCCAAAAATGAAATCAAAAAGTGATTATCTAAAGCAGGGATACTCACGCCGTAGCTCACTTTTCGCGAACGTGTCCAAAATTTCAGATCTCAAAATCTGAGGGCCCAGAGTGAAGTTCCCTATTACGGACAGTACTTAAAACCGGACACCTCCCATAACCGGACAAATTTCATGAACACAATGCTTTCATTAATATTTTTATACAAAGCCAATTCTAATAACGCTCTCCTGGAACGTTCCATTGACCGGACAAGGTCACTATCTTCGTAATATTTTGTTCATCTCTAATAAACGGAGATTTCACATAATGTGCAAAGAAAATTGTTTACAACTTTTAGCTTCCGTTTCCTTTTTAATTTTTGTTAATTTTTGGTGTTTTGAGACAATTTTTTAAGGACAACACACGCAACGATCACTGCAAACAAATTGTTTTGCGCTGGCGTCTTCTGGTTGGCGATGGCTCAATGTAAACATATGGGATAATTGTCATTTATTCTCTTCGGTCTGACATTCCCTCGCATTTATTAGTTCAGTAGTTATAAATATTTATAATTTTGGCTTTAAGAATACATTTTAAACCCACGTCCCATATGTTGACCGCTCTCATAGCTGGGCAAAAACACTGCGACGGAACACCCACCGAGTTATGATTAATTTCACTGTATTGAGTAATCAATTCGTGGTCCTATAGTTACGAGCATAAGTCCATCAATACTAAAAAATACCTGCAAGAAACTGGCTAGTGACGAAATTGAAAGAAATGTATATAATACTTTTTGTGCAATACACAAATGTACGTACATATGTATGTACACACATGGACAAAATAATAAGTACATCAGGTATCTGTGAAAGAAAAAATTGTATTAGTTTGAGTTTTCTGTCTTCTATTTGACTTTTACTTACTTATTTCATCAGTATCTAGTATATCTGCTATTATTTTCAATTCAATTTCAATTTTGAGATTCGAAAATAAGTTTGCGTCACGTATCAATTGTAATCTCATACTAGGGGTTTTCAACAAAATTCTCTGATTTGATCCTTATTTTGGAACGATTGTCTCGCAATCTGTTGCTTTAGCTCCCCCAAAGGTTTTCAATTGGATTCAAGTATTGGATTCAATTGGATTGACATAGTCATTTAAAAGAGCTCACACCACTGTCTTGGAACCAATCTTTTACCAACGTCGAAGTATGATTAGGATAATTATCCTGCTGAAATTTCCATATTAGTGCCATACTTTCCTCAGTATATGACAGCATTCTGCACGAAATACAATGTATTCCTAAGACTTTGGCCCTCTTTTATTAAGTTTAAGACGATGTCCTTTTCCTCCACCCTGCAATGTTTTTTTCTACCCATATACATATATCTAAATATATTTTTTTTAGTTTTTAATGAGCCTTAAATATGGACCTATACAATCTAAACAGCAAACCATTAAAATAAATCACTCGATTTGATCAAAATCTGAAAATAATTAACAATGTACTTATTATTTAGACCACTTAGAAAGACGAACATCAACAACCACGCAACCTACAAATAGAGGATTCAGCATTTTCTTTTCATTATAAAAGGTACTACAATACCGTATTTAATAAAATTAATCCATGGTTGCATTCGTGTACTTCACCAAACATTCAAAATTCAATCATGACTGCAGCCTAAAGGAATGTACTTATTATTTTGACCATATGTGTATATAAATAGTAAAGACATTTTACTTGCTTATGTGTCATAAATATTTGAAACAAATTTCAAATAAAAAGACTTAGAAATAATTAAAAACGAATTGAAAATGTATGCCATCAATAAAAACAGTAGAGGTATTAACATTTTATTTTTAACTATACCATTTTAAGTTTAAACTCTTAAATTGTGTATGAATATAATTTTTTAAAGGATTTTAATCAAAAAAATATTATGAAATATCTTTTAGAACAAATTTACAAGGCATATGTCTACTTATTAATTATATTCATTTTCCACGGACCTTACGCCTTATGTCAAAATGCCAAGTGAACAATAAAGAAATTAATATAAAATTACAATAACATAAGTCTTTACTTATAGACATATCGACGAATGTGCAAAAACTGGTTTATTCTTCAATCAACAATCTGCGCGCAAGAGACGCAGCAACAAAAATCGCATAAAAAGTAATAAGCGGGTACAAAGCGAACTTATTTATGCACAAACTAACATTCATACATTCAAATGTCCACTTTGCTGCGCCCCACATAAATTTCCAAACTTATGCTCACAGCCAGTTGTCGTTATTTCTGTATGCGCTGCTGCATGTGTGTGTTCTGCAGGCCCAACCTTTTTCATTTATTCATTGGCACAAGCACAGCCTGGAAAACAACAAACCACAATATAATAAAAACTCACACTCCATATCGTGTACGAACATACATAACTATGCATGAACACACAAACATTGCAACAAACAAGGCACTGCGCTTTCAAACATATGAAGCGTTGCTTGCTCTTATATACACAAGGGCAACCAATCAGGGTGCGCGAGAACTTTAAATGCCAACTACACACAATGTTGTGGTAATTGAAGCGAACAGCAAAAAACACAACAAGACTTCACTCTGTAATACTTCGCATGCCCTCTCACCGAATAACAACAAATAGAAGTCAGTACAATAAGAGATTCGTCCCGCTGATTGGCGGATACGCTGATAGGCCAAACAGTAAAGTGAATACAGAGAGCAAACAAAAGAAAGTTATGTGTGTACGACGGTGCATAAAGCAAACGGCAATTTTTGTGTTTGGAGAGCATGCAATACACTGAGCACAAAGCCGGTTGGAGGCAGTGTGTGCGCTGGCTTATTGAGCGGCTCTAAAGACTTTGAATTTCAAATAGCTGAATTCGCTCAAAATACAAACGGCGCGCACCTTGGCTCTTAACCGGGTATCGAACGCAATTTTTTGGAAAAAAATTAAATTTATTCATTGTAGAAAAAATTAAATTAGACATTTTTTCTTATCAAATAGAAAAATAAATGAAAATTTGCAAATCTCAATCGTGTTTGCAATAAAAAGTGGTCTTCCSATTGCTTGCTTGTTGTTGTTGCTACTGCGCGTTCTGGACTTCCCACTCGGCGCGTGTGTGCTTGTGTGAGTGCGTTCGTTTTTTTCTTGTGTGTACATACTATATGTATGTATGTATATGATATTCGCATGCAGGTTAGTTGCTTTTGCCGCTGCCACGCTGCCGCTGGCTCACTGTAGCTGCTGGGTTAGCCCACTGCTGGTGGTCACGGCAAGTGCCAGTATCAATTTTGTTCGGTTCATAAAAGCATCGCAGTAGCAACGGTTTTATAGTATGACGCAGGCCAGTGGTCGTTGAGAGCAAAATTCAAATACAGTTTTACTATAAACGTGCGTAGATGAGTAAGCCGCAGTAGTAAATTCAAACAAAAGAAAAAAGAAATAAAAATCACGCGCTGAAAAACCAATAATGTTATAAATGAATAAATTAAAGCTAATAAATACAAGAAAAAATATACAAAATATGAGTTAGTGATCTGAGTAATAAGAGATAATAAAAAGTAGAAAATACAATTTAAAAACAAATAATTTTATTGCTTCAATGACGTCTGAAATTCAAAGTGACTGAAACTTATATACACAAGATTACTATATATGTACATATGTATCTTTGCGGAAAAATGCAGTGAAATAAATATTCGTGAAAAACATCAAAATTTCGCGCTAAAACGGTTTGTGAAAATTAACACTGTTTTATTGTTGTTGTGTTGTTATTTAAAAGCGTTTGATAAGCTGCATTTGGAATAACATATGTGTGTATGCATGTGTGTGTATACATGCATCTTAATATCAACAGCATAGCGGTAATAATGTGCTATTTCTAATTAATAAATTAAGTCAATAATTAAATATAATTACAACTAACACACGTTTTATAAGTAAACGTCTACGCGGAAACTTACGAAATGTTACTCTGTGCTTATCTACTTAAGTAAACGTTGTTGTGAAATGTGAATAATATTTGGTTAGTCGTTTTCCGTTGAAAAGAATTCCAACTTCTTTCGTAAAAATAAACAGCGAATTAGCGGAAAAGTTCACTGATTGATTTGCATCAATGTTTTTGATTTTGGCGAAATGCTCAAATTTAATTAGCGCTTATTAACGTCAACTCCAAATGACTTGGCGCCAAGCGAATGTTGTGATTTTGTGTTTTTTCTTTCTCAATAATGACAAGTTACGTAAACATGTAAACGCTTGCATTCTAAAAATAACTCAGGATTGTTTTGTAAAATGAAATACATGAATGTATTGAATTAGTGAAATCATCGATCGAAAGAAATAAACATATGCTTTATGCACTATTAGGTTATGCGGGGCCGTTTTCTAAATGTCTGGTTAGTAATCATCTGCCTATTAAGTTCTGATTAAAGTTTTTTGCCGAAAGAATGAGTATTGGTTAAGTTAACCAGAACTTAACTGACAAATTAAATGAAGCCTGAAAGAGAGAAATTCGATTCGTTTTTTCTTGCTCCCAGAATAAATCGCCAAAGTTAGGGCTATTTTGATGGCTCTAGACTGGCGTAGCCTCATAATCATAACTAGGAGCGACACTTAGCAATCAATTAATTTTTTTATAGCTTTGTAGTTTGGCTATTGGTATTATTCCTGGGCGATCTACTATATTCTTTCCGCACAAAGAACTGGCGTATTTCAAAAGGTGTAGTATTCCACATTTTCAATCTTTAAGTCTCCGTCAGATGTGTAAAAGTTTTTTGTGTATTTCATAATTTTATTGTCGTCGTATAATATTTTGATTATTACACATAATTTTATTTATTGCTTTTGATTCCGTAAGAGAGTAGCAAGGAGTGGTAGCTTGGAGGGGATTTTTATACCTTGAACAGGTTGTAGATATTTTGTAAAATACAAAAAAAAAAAAATAAGTTTGTAAAATACAAAAAAAAAAAAATTGTATACAAAAATTTCAAAAATCCTTTTTCGACTGGGCTTAAAGGACTTTCACGCACATTTATTTTTTTTGGTTGTTGGACCCACGTCCAACCATCATTTTCAATCACAATAATTTTGCATTCACAAGACCATAGGTGGTCGAACCATTCGGCTCCACCTCAAGTAATGCGTCGTTTTGCAAACTAAATACGATTGCATCTATATATGTATGTGTGGATGTGGTTTGCTAAGTATTGACTCCTTTTAAGTCAATCTGCCAAAGAAATTTGTGCACGTAATTCTTGCTGAATGCCTGCAGCGGACTTACGCGGTTCGCGCGTCGACAATCTTACAATATTTTGCTCAGCTTTCGCAGTCGTTTTCGTGGCCGGTCTCGTTTTTTCCACATATTTTCATTCAATTTTCGGGACCTATTCAAAATTTCCTTGCATATTGCATGTTATCATTTCTTCTTTTTCAAAAGTACATATATAGGGTTGTATTTATTTTCAAAATATAACCTTTGATTCTATTTTCTTGTCCATAACTGTATACATATGAATATATCAACGTGACGAGTTAATTCCATTTAGCTGTGACGATTTGTCTTTCTGTTTAACGCTCCTTCAGCCTGTAAAATCCAACTAGTCCCTCAGTTTCTGAAATATCAATCTGAAAATCTGCACACTTCCTTTTCACCCCAACGAACGAACCCTTATTGCATATACATACATACATATGTATGTATGTGCTTGTCGGGCAAACTGATCAATCAAAATGAAGCTCATGAATGGAAACTTTTTTTATTTGAGAAGATATCTTCACGTTATTTATTGCCGAATAAATTTTTTAGAAAGAACCACTATTGCCGGTAGCTGCCATATACAGCCATGGACACATAAATAGCACACTTGGTCATCAAATAAAACACTGAGATAAACTTCTTTTTATACCCTTTTATCTTACAAGAAATGGATTTGTGAAGGGTATGACTGCTGCAGTTGTCACAATTTTTCCTTATTTATGGGATTACTGAGTTCCTCATATCAGTATTTTTTCAAACATTTTTTTCTCATATAAAAAATTAAATATTTTATTAGATTTTTTTAATTGTTACAAACATGCATTATCAACAAATGAATCCTGAAATTTTTGAAAAAGAAAAAAAAACACTATTTTAAACTCGGGCATTGCGACGCCATTTACACAAAGATGAAAATTTCAGTAAAAATTTCGGGAAATTTTTTTCAAATAGTTGTAATCGAAAAAATCTTTCGTCCAAGTCCTTAAAAATTGTAACTCAAAGACCTGTGTAAAACTTCATGAAGATCGGTTGAGCAGTTCTCGAGAAATTTCCCAACTGACTTCAAAAACACAGTTTCGAGAAAAACGCATTTAAAGACGGCGCACTTAGCCTAGCAAGGGCACAAGTTCTCAAGGCCGTATGAAGCTAGTACTCGGATCAACTTGAAAATTTAAGACAACATTTTAGAGGTGTTGTAGAATTTAATAAGATAATAAAAAAATCCATTTTTTAAGCCCGTAAAAGCATGTAATATTTTATATGTTATTTTTTTTTTTACAGATCGATTCATATTCGTCATATAGCACTTCACAAAATCATATGAAATTCACTTGATTTTCTATTCTACTTTTAATACAGAATCGTACCTAGATATGTATGAGCATTGTATGTATGTATGTATGTAGATTTACAAGTTTACTTTAATTTAAAAGCGAATAACTATGACAGTACTCTAAGTAGAGAGTTTAGACGAAGAGAATCTCTCTCTTTAATCAACTGTCTTGGCCAAAAATCAGTGAACATCAATATTTACTAATCGAGCTCACAAACAAAAAAAACAAAACAAAAAATCAAGCTTAATATGAAAACACACATTAACACCTTCGTTTCAGCAAGCTTTTTAGTTCGTTTTCTTTTTCTGGGAACTCGTTAAAGCCCGCGCATCAGCGCAAGAAATAAAGTCATACACGCCGGCGCAGCTGTTTCGGCGTGTCTTTCGCGATATCGGCGCGCTGCCGCCTTCAGCGGAGCGTGTGACTCACCATACAATGCGTGCTGAAGCATTCCGTGAGCTACGAGGCAACAAAGCAATAGCCGAGACAAGTGTACGTCACGCTGACGACGTAAGACTGCGGAGCGCCGCTGTCTTGTTTCAAAATTACGAAATTGAGTGAAGAGATTGAAGTGTATTAATTTATGTTAATTTGTCGATGCTTTTTGCTTAATCATTTATTAACTAAGCTGCTAATTTGTCATATGCATAAACAAGTGCTGATGCTCGCGTATAAGTATGTATGTAYGAATGTGTGTGTGTATATGCAAATCATTCTGAGCAATTAAAAATCAGTGATCAATTCAAAATTTCCGGTAGAGTATGGGATTTTCCAATTTTTTCGGAAGCTACGATGATACATTTGCGCGTAGCAATCACGCTACGCTATAATATAACAACAACAACAATGAAACTGTAACGATTTGTGTTAAATTTCCCAATGCTCATTTAAACCGGATTATAAATTTCAGTGTTTCGATAAAAAAAATCTATTTAAATGACAAAAGCAGAATTTGTGTGCCAGACGGTTTTAGTCGAAAGTTTACAAAACGCTACAACTTCGAAGCAAACGCAAGTCAAAGTGAAAAGAAAACCGTTAGAAAACGCATGTAGAGACACACGCTGAATGCGCGCACCCCAGTGAAGTACAATTTCTTGACTTATTTGGTTCTGAAAATCCGCAAAGCTGAAGATAAAAACTACGCCCAGTAATCCCTCCGCCGCCGCCACCGCCGCTGCCGCCCTCGCTTCGAATAATATTGCGCCATTACAACAACATACAGGAAGAGCTCATAACGGTGCAGATAGCTACCACCTACCGACGCAGACGCAGCCACCGTCACTGGCTTTACCCAACAACACCAACGTGGCTGCCGTTGGTTGTCTTCGGTCCATTTCTTCCGCCACCGTTTATCCGAACGCCGCCAAAATTGCTCCTTACCAAAGACGCATGCATTTGCCGAGCGCATCGGCTGCAGTCTACAGCGGCGGCTCAACGTCTGGCGGACTCGTCGGCCTCGGCAGTGGAGGTGGCGGTGGCGGCGGCGTTGGTATTGGCGTTGGTATCGACGATGCCGTCGGGCATAATGTGTGCAGTCTGATTGGCAATGGCGCCGCCGCTATGGCCACATCGTGCACCTCGCCAATGCGTTGGTGTGAAGGCGCCTCAGTGCCGCAACCGTTACCACCTAGTAATGCGAGCATTGGCAGTAGTTCACCCATTGGTGGCGCTAGCAATGGCACGGTGCATAGTAGTAATAGTAATACGAATAGTAGCAGTAATAATAATAATAATGCTAACAACAATAACAATCACAGTAGTGGTGGCAACAATGTTGGCTGTCAGGATCTGTGGTGGACGGAGCGCATGGTGGAGATGGCACACGAGAAGTTTCCCAACGAATTAGGTGAGTGGTGAAGTTAGTTTGAAATTATTAATTTTTTTTTATGTTTGTACATTATATGATAAAAGATGAAACATATAAGATGTAGCTATGTGGGCATTACTATAATATGGTTTATACCATCTGATCAAATTTAACTCAGACTACAAAAAAATAACTTTTTCATGTATTTTAATATTATATAAATCTCGCGGCGTCCTTCCAGTTCACTGATTTTAGCGAATTAATTTTAATGACTTCAGTGAATTCATGGCGTATTCCCCATAGCAGATAAACTAAAATCTGCCTAATACAGTGGCTAAGCGACGACTCTGGTTTCATGTTTGACCAAAAAATAAGTCCCAATCACACTGAAATGTGTCGACCCATTATCATGGAGAAAAATCCATGAACTTTCTGCCCACAAACCCGAATGGCTTCACATAGACGATTAAAAACGGCCAAGTAGTATTCCTTAACGACCGTCTGATCCTCAGCTACGTTGTCAAACATGACTTTTGTGACCTCTACTCAATATCGTGTTTGCAAACTGGTTGTAAAAAGTTGCTGGACAAACTTTTCGCGTCATAAACAAACAGTTTAGTACTCATTGACATATGGATATTATGTCTAATGATTTTCGTCCTTCACATATTACTTTCACCAGTTTTTGAATATGATTTCTATCAAGCCTCTGTTGGTCAAAAGATAATTCGGTATTTGCAATTCCGTTTGTTTTACTCTCTATAGGGAATCTGGGTTCCTTAAAGTACATGTGACTGAACACTCGGAAATTCTCACACATTTTGATTTTATACCGTATCACTTGGATCAAGGAGGCGCTAAATCGAACTCTGGTGGTTCCTTTTCTGCCCATATACCGACGAGGTAGTTGTGAGGGGGAAGAAGCCAGTCAGCTTCTTTACGGATGGGTCAAAGCTTAGGAGAAGGTTGGTGGAGGGATTCACTATCAGAAGCTCTCTATCAACTCCAACTTTAGACTTCCTGACAGTTGCCGAGTTTTCTAAGCCGAGGTCGCAGCCATTAAGTTAGCAGTAGGTTTACTGCTCCAGAGTACAGCCGCCTTCAGAAGAGTGACCATCCACTCAGATAGCAGGGCGGCGATACTAGCCTTGTATTCATTAACAGTACTTCAGTGTTGGTCAAAACGCCTAACCTCGCTATCAATAGCATCGAGTCTCTTTGTGATAAGACTGGTATGGGTGTCAGGCTACAGTAGAATCGCATACAATTGTAAAGCAAATGAGCTATCAAGGAAAGTCACCCCATAACCGCTATCAGTAGAATGGTAGCGCGTCGTATTCTCTTCTGTTCTACTACTAACCACCAATGAAACTTGAGCTGTTGCAAAATCCTTTTGTTGCAAGATCGGTCGCAAGAGATCTAGTGATATCTTGGGCCTCTCCCCAGTTGTGGTGGTTTTAATAGATCCGTCCATGCTGTAATGTTTATAACGAATTATGGTTTAAAATGGGGATCAAAAGCTAGTGGACTCCTAAATTCTCTCATGACTTTGCACGTGCTTCGAATTATTTAAAAAATAAAGATTTTTTATAGCTCTAACGCAATAAAAAAAAATATTTTTCGCTATTAAGAAGTCTTGTGCCACAAAAATTAATGTTCATATTTATAATTAATATGACAGAGTAAAAGTAGTACCCGGAGGCACATGCGTACAAACAATACAAACAAGTGTATACTTGGTACATAAGGCTTCTTTGTGCCTGTAATTCAATTCGCCTGATATTGATGCGTCTTTCGAGTAAGTGCTATGAACCTATGTACATATGTATGCGTTAAAAAAATTAATGATTTCGCATTTTTTGTTGGCATGAGACTTTGTTTTTTGCGACTGATTCGTTTCAGAATACTCAATTTTCATTCAGAAGATGCTTGATACTTGAGAAATATGTTGCAAATTATAGTTTTATTTATGCCAAAAAGTAATGGATATGGGATGAACGCGTGTTGTATTAAAAAAATTCAAAAAATCACACACACACACATATGTATATGCAGTGATATGATTACGGTAATTTGAATTTTAACAACTTAAGTACACTCAGACTGAGATATGAGATAAAAGTGTCAAAAACTTGTTAGTTTTGAAATTGGTTAGTTGGAATTTCGACAACTGTTGAGTCAGTGCATTGACTAATTTCCGGTAGTCTAGTAAAATCTACTTCATTACAAACAAGCTGCTTGGATCACATGCCATTTTTTCTGCGTTTCATTTGTTCCATTTAATAAAAAGTTTCCATAAAATCCAAATTAAAATAAAAAACTTTGCTGGCGCTTTTCCTGTATATTATTACCACATCAATCCGTTTCAAAAGACTTAACGTAAAAAACTTAAATCATTAATATAGTATTTTCATTGGAATATTATTCCATTGATGCTTCATCTCTGAGAAACATGATTGCAAGTTTGTACGGCTATTGGTATCTTAGAATCCAAAATTGCCAACAAAGGCCCAATTGGACTTAAATACGGTGAATGAGCTGCCCAGTTAAGGTTTTCGATTATGATTTCTTCMAAAAAAAAAAAAAAAAACGAGGAGCCAAGCGAGATGTGTATTTGGGGTCAGTATCTTATTGGAAATTAAACTACCCCAAATTAATTTTTTCCGCACTTATTGTCAAATTTTTGCTAAAGATGTCAACATATGAAGCACCCGTCATTCGTCCATCGATTTTAACTAAACTGCCTAAACCAAATTTTGAGAAACCGCCCAAAGCCATGAGAGAACCTTCTCCATGCTTCACTGTTGATTGTATGTTCTATATGCACTGCGGTTTTATCAGACCAAACTACTTTAACCCAAAAACTAGTTGGCATATTTGGATATGTTTTGTAAACTTTACTCTCTTTTTCCTAATCGCAATGGAAATCATAGGCCTTTTTTGCGAGATATTTCTTCAAATCAAATGTTCCTAGATGAAATTTGAGGTTTTTCGGCAACTATTCTATAATTACACGAAAAATCTTTTCAGCGTCAAGCGAAAATTGTCGTGATGGAATCGCGATGAGGCGACCAAGCCAGTATTAACGGTCAGAAAGGTTTTGCTATGAGTTTGGTGCATATACTTTCAGTAGCTCATCTACAGCCAAACTCTCAATTTGAGCCTCTACTGTCAATATTCGATCGCCAGAAGGAAGCAATCTGCAATACATATCGATAGTGACTCGCCATTGCTACGTTGGCTTGCTCTTATGCTTTCAACATAATGTAATAGTCCGGAGCTGGTGCTATTACTACTTAGTCCTATCTATGGTGAATAATTACGCTGGTAAAACATTTAGCCTGAAGAGAAGCTTTGGGAAACCGATTGTCCCTGTTTTTTGCCCAAAGGGACGAAGTTGGCATTATGAAATTAACTGAAAAATGTCAACTAGCAATGTCAACATCATAACTGAAAATTTGCTAATTCGGAAAAAACATGTTTAAGCTATTCAGGTATTCCACATTTTCTACGGCATAATATCGGCATATACTTATGGGCAAGAAATAGTAAGATTTTTAAAATTCGCTCGAAAGCACATTCGTCGACATGTTTTTTTTTCTTGCTTGATAAAAATAATCATTAATGTTTAGTATACGCTTGTCTCTCAAAAGTACAGAAATTGCATTCGGCGATTTTTACGATAGGTTATTTAAGAACTTCCATTAAATTTTGTGTATGAAATCAAGTTTTGGATGCCGAAACGTTCAGAATGTTGAAAAAGGCCTTTAGTGACAATTGTTTGTCGCGAGCAAATCCGTTTGATTGGTACAAATTTTTTAAACGGGGTCGAGAATGCGTTGACGACGAACCAGGACGGCCAACAATATCAACTGATGAACGCGCCAATAAAATAAAGGTAGTGGTACTTGAGCATCGCCGCTTAAAAGTCAGAGATCTTACTGACATCTTTGGAAAATCGAAAAGATCTATGAAAACCATTTTGAAAGATCATTTTGGTTTAAGAGAAGTGAAAGCACTATTGTTTCCAAAATCACATAAATTTTTCCGAAAAAATGTTGTCAATTTTCTTCGATTATCGAGTTGTGGTGCACTCCGAATTTCTTCCGATCGGCCACAATGTCAATAAGAAATACTATTTGAGTGTTATGCGCCATTTGTGCGAATCTAGTCGTAAAAAAAAGGCTGGAATTATGAGCCGATAGCTGTCGGTTTTTGAACCACGATAATGCACCGACACATACTGTTTTGATGCTTCGTAAGTTTTTCCAATGTCGTGCCGCAACCACCATATTCACCTGATTTAGCTCTGCGTGACTTCTTGCTATTCAAACTCAAGCGACGGCTCTGGGGAAACCGTTTTGAGTTAATTGAAGATATTAAATGGGAATTTCTAGGCGCATTCAAGGCAATTCCGGAAAATGACTTTAAGAACTGTATCGAACTTCGGCCAACACGTTGGTACAAGTTTATTGGGGCCAAAGGGGTTAACTTTGAGGTGCACACTTAGATTTTGAAGAATTCTAAAATTATGAATAAAGTCTTAATATTTTGTGCTCATACTCAGTAGTTACAAAAAACTTTGATACAATAAAAAGCTTTATGCTATGATAATTCCCACATAATTAACTCAAAACTCACATTTCTGAAGGTATGATGGTCTTGTAGTAAGCAAACGATATTATCAGCACCGATGCTTTACATTTAATAATCGTTTCTAGGACAACGCTTGTCAACAACACGCCAAGCGCCCGCACTATATTTAAATCATATTAATGGAAATTGCACATAATTAATTAATCAAGCATTTTAATTAATAACTAACAACAACAAAATATCGTTTAATCTTTCAGTACGCACCAGCAATCCATATTTCTTATGCTCCAAGCTGCCACCACACTGGCGTGCCAACAAAACGCTGCCCAGCTCCTTCAAAGTGGTGGCACTCGTGGAGGTCGGCGACGGCACGACGGTGACGATACGGGCCGGCAACGATGAGAACTGCAGTGCGGAGCTGAAGAACTGCCAGGCGACGATGAAGGAGCATGTGGCCAAGTTTAATGATCTGCGCTTTGTGGGACGCAGCGGCAGAGGTGAGTGATTGACAGCAAATAAAGAAGGAATATACATATTTAGAAGAATAAGATTGGAAAAAAAATTGTGAAAATCAGAAGCAGCGGCAGGAGCAACTTCAGCAGTCAATAATGAGCCATTGTGGCAGCGTTTAACTTCCGTCAAAGCGTTTTCGGCTTTGTGGGCGCACAAGTGCTTACAGCAACTTCAGTTCGGCTTTTCTCACATGCAAGAACGCATTTTGCGTCACCTTAAGTGAGACAAATAAATAGCCACGAATAAAACGAATGCTAACTGAACGAACGGGCATGCAACGGTAGGCAGGAATTACATACTAATGTACCAATATATACATATATACATATGTATGTGTGTTAAGCTGCAACCGTGAGCTGCACAAACTCAATGAGGTTCACTCACAGAAGTCGTCACATTATGTCGATACGCCCCAGGGGGTCAGGCACTTATTGAACGCATTATATATATTTATATATACATATGTAGGTTCCCCACTTGCCCTGCTCCTTGCAAGTCTGTTAGGCCCGCTCGCAACCCTTATAAACATTTCCAATTTCGTAGCGTCCAAATTGCATGCGTCGAGCGTCGAGGTGTAATTCTACAGCAGCGCTGGTGAGCGTGTCGCAGTCCAAAAACTGCACCAACTGTCATCTTCCATCCATCACGTGTCCATGCGCTTAGCTGCAACCAGTCATTCACGCCGTCAGCCTATGACATCATGTTGCCGCACTTGGCGTTCGTGCGATCGTTTGGGCTGTGCACCGTCGTTCTGCATACAGAAATTGCTGAATAGCTGTACATTTTGCAACTTCTGACACGCAACACAAATTTTTGCCATCAATAATCGATTTTAAAGTGTGCACGTTGGCATTGTTGTTGCGCCGCGATTGCAACATGTCATCTTCATTCCACTCAACTGCCAGGCTGCCAGCGCGTCGGTAGCGTGTTGCAAATGCTGCAAGTGCTGGCGAGTTGAGTGCTGCTTCGCGATCGCTCGCTGATTCTCGGCTGAAGCCGGCAATTAATGCACTAGAAATTTCACGCAACGGCCAGAAGGCATGCGTAACAACAGTTGGCCGAAAGTGTTGTTGTTAGTGGTGGGAATTAGGATGGCTATGAAAGCTAACTGCATTTTTGAGATAGTTTTCATGAAGTAAACTAATATTTAAAATATATTTATAAATGTAAATACGCTTAAACCCCTCTTATCGAAAATGGGGGGAGAATCTATTTCACTGTATTCTTTATTCTTTATAGGCGTATTTCCCTTTTACAAACCATATACTTAAATTTTCTATGCATGAATGAGTTCAAAATTGCTTTTTAATAACTTAATTTTACTCGTAACAGACTTTATATTTTACGTAAATAAGCATGGTCATGTGATCAAATTTAACCCGGACTCACAAACCAGTCCTTTTCATATATTTCTGAGACAATAAAAATATGACAGCGGTTGTTCAAATTCATCTGATCAAATTTAACCCGGACTGACAAACAAATATATTTCCACGTTTTTGAATACAAGTATTTTTTATTGCCTTCAAAATAAGCTCCTGAATAGCTACAAGTATGACAACAATTATACAAATTTTCTACACACTTGTTATAAGCCTCGACTGGGACGGCCTTCAGTGCTTTCATTATCTTCAGTGACTTTGGGGGTTTTTTAGCTAACTTTTGGAACGCCATTCGCTTGGTAGTTAACCAGTTAAACCTCTTCATAAAATCTTACCTGTTTACCTAAATTGATGCTTTTGACGAATGTAGAATCCTTAGCTACTTTGTCAAGCATCACTTTTGCGATCTTTACTTGACATCGTTTTTGGTAACTATGCAGGTTTTTTGGAACTAGTCTAGTACTGACACTCACCATACCTGAAACATTAACCAAAATGTGTTGAGTCGACACATTAAAGATTTTGAGATTCTCTGATGGCAACAAAAGAATTTTCATGCTATCTTTCGCTGTTTCGTTTCGTCGATATACACTATTGAATAACACTTTCGCTTAAATGTGGAAACCACTAGAACCCTAGTGAGCGGTTTTTCAGAAACCTTCCATATTGTGATGTCATCTCTAAAGTTGTGGGTCTACGTGAGACTTTCACAAACTGGCCATAATACTTCGAGCTAAGTGCGTTTATTTGTTTCTTCCAACGTTACTTAATATTACTACAAAAAAGTATATAAACGCTCTACCAATAAGAACGTTGTGGTGCTAAAGAGAAAGAAAACACTCACATTTGATCAAAATGGATTCTCTAAAAGACCTCATTTGAGAAAACCATGTTTAGCGCGAAGAGCTCTAATAGTTGTCACCGGAAAACATGAATTTTGCGTTAAAATCTTAGACAATTTCCAAGCGAAACGTGACAAGATAAAATGGCAAAGCTCACCGAACATAGTGACAAAATTTTGACAAAAGTTTGTAAACAAACCGCCACGAGCTGTCAAAAACAAGTCATTGGTAAACGCTGTAGCGCACAGTTCTCATAACTTCAAACGCTTCCTTTTAGTGAAGCAAACCGCGAGTGTTTTACAGCCCAATTCACAAACCCCCCCAGAAATCATAACTCTATTCTGAACCTTGAGCTGGCGTAAATTCAAAAGCTCAAAGTCTAAAAATTAGACTTACAATTAGACTTAACCTTATTATTTCATATAGAAAAGAACTTAAGGGATTACATAGGTTTCCTCGTCTCAAAAACAGCCTTCTTAAACAGTTTTTTTCTCATACAAAATATGAAATATTTTATTAGAATTGTTTATTGTTTTAAACATGCATTATTAACAAAGAAACTCTGAAATTTTCGGCCATTGCTACGCTATTTCCGGTGATTCCTCGGAAAAAAGATGCGCTCGCATTGGCAGGATAACTCCTTACAGCAACATCTAAAGTGAAAAATTACACATTTTAGTTAAAACCTTAACTTAGAACTCGGACGAAGGAAACGTTTTTTTTCCAAATAGTTGCAATCGAAAATGCTTCATCCAAGTTTTAAAAAGTTTTTCTCAAAGACCTATTTGAAATTGCATGAAGATCGGTTGAGTAATTCTCGAAAAATTTTGCCAACCGACTTCAAAAACACAGTTTAAAGAAAAACGCGTTCAAAGACGATACACTTAGCCTAGCTAGCCTCGAGCGCACAAGTTCTCAAGACTGCATCTCCGAAACTATTACTCGGATCAACTTGAAAGCTTAGGACAATATTCTAGAGATGTTGTAAGATTTAATAAAACAATAAAAAAAATCGATTTTGAAGCCCGTAAACTCATGTAACCCCTTAAATAGATTATAGATACGGTAAACAATGCGGACAACTCTTAATTCATTAACTCCTTCCTGCAAAAAAAAATTGGTAAAAAATTATAATTACCATCGCGTAAGGTAATAAGAATAATCCGCAAGGGAAATATGAGTGAGAAATATAATAAAAAAAGAAATCTTAGTTTTTTTAAAATACTAATATGTACATATATGTACATATGTATACGCACACTCATATATGTAAATATTACTAATTATACGCTTAAAGAACACAACCTCAGCGAAATTCAAAATTGGAATTCTAGAAACAATTTTTTTTTGTAAATCCAACTTTGTTGCTAAAAAGCTTCCTTGAAAGTATAAATTTCGATGATTTAAAAATTTCCTCTGGCCTTGTAGCAGTTAAGATCATGCCGTTTTTTAATATCGTGGAGTCAAGAGACTTAGTAAAGTTGTTAAAAATTCCTTTGAGTGTTGCTAATTTCATTATTTTACTTTATCAAATTGTGGAATTTTGAGAGTTGTGTTATTTGTGGTTAGCGGCTTAACATTTCTAGGATTGAGATAACGAACAGAAACACTCGAAAGCAATGAAAGTATGTATGTTTAAGTACGATAACAAAGAAAACTCATAAAAAACGGATAAAAATGGTGTCGTTTACTTAATCACATCGATAATAAAATGAAAAAAATCATTATAATTATAAAAAAAAATAAAACTAAAATTGTATTGGTGCGATTGGCATAACTGAAAATTTCAGTATATAAGACCTGATGTTGATTTGTACATATGTGCATATAAGCAAAGTTCAAAATAAAAAAAATATTTACAATTTTTTTATTAACGAAAACATGTTTAAAATTAATATTTCTTTTATTTAAATGTTTTGAAGAACTTTTTCTTGAAAGCATAAATTGAATAATATGAAAAATATAATTAGGTGCATGCATATGGAAGTATAAGAACTATGACTTCAACTGCATTTATTTATTTATAATTTAAGCGAGTGCAAGCTTAAGATATATACACCTTGTTTTAAGAATAAATTTAAATATTTTTCAAGTTATAGAAAATCTCTAACGGCGCTAAAAAGTGCCCTTCAATCTTCCGGTCTTCTCTTAAATCTCTACAAGAAGATCGTGTCCATTCTTATGCTCGAAGTGTATTAGGAGGTTGGAGCTAGAAAGAGGATAGATATAGCGCCGCCTTGATCCAGCTCAACTTAAGTAAATCAGACTATATCCTTCCAAGGTTAGATTACAATAGTCATTTTCGATTGAGGATAGCCTCTAAAACGTGAGGAGGAGGTTACTACCTCTATCTATACAAACAGGTCCGAAATAGACTGCGGAGTCGGGCAAGATAATACTAAAATGATCTCGACATTTCTTATTCGTGTACCAAAAGCAGCCAGCATCTTCCATGTGGAAGTACTAGGTCTAGAGAATGAGTAATGAAACGGGATAGCAAGATTATAAGGTCCTACCATAGTACACCTGCGACACTTGAGCCAGTGAGGGCAGTACTCCTATCTACCTACCCACAGTCGAGGAAATAAAAATTTACAAAATGGCGGCGTTTAAAAAAACCTAAATTTTGGTAGGTTTTCAGTATGGTAAAATTCGATCTTTGATCGGATCAAGAAACTGGTAGAAATTGTATGGAGACTAAGTATGTATATTTTATAAAGAAAAATCACAGAAACTTCTTCTTTGACGGTGAATGTTTAT